TAATTATTTATTTTTTAAAACAAAAATCATATACACAAAAAATAAAAACAATGTATGTAATAATTATTTATTCAAGAAAAAATCATACGCGGTAATAAGATAAAATTTCTTTTTTATTGATACTGTAAATGATTAAAATAAAATATTAGAAACCGGGAGCAAGCCCCTGTTAGCTAACTTTATTCTCGGTGCCCGAGATTTTGCATGTTGACAGAAATGTTATTTAAAAATTACGATCGAGACAAAATTATAAATCACAAAAAAAATACATTTTGCGTAAATGACATTGAAATAACTTTAAGTTAGATCAAAGATTCGATATAAAATGCGTAAAAGGTAAAAGTTTAATGAGGTTTGACCATTAAGCTCGGCTTAATGGTAGCTTAATGAAGTTTGGACATTAAGCACCTGTAAGAAATAAGTTGCAGCTTAATGGTGGCTTAATGGAGTTATAACTTCTTTAAGCACCATTAAGCCACCATTAAGCAATTGCCCATTAAGCAATTGCTTAAAAGTGGACTTTCGTCTTTTGAAGTTTACTGTCAGTTACGTAACTAGCCCTTAAATATAGGATACACGAAACGTAATTAAACGTTAATTAGTTAACTATGACTTAACTCATCGACGTTAGTTAACAAGCAACTGAATACGTCTGCACGTGCGTTTTCCGTGCAATACTTCAACAGAATACAGAAAATTCCCAAGTGAAAATTTTTTTAAACAAATCACTAACAAATTGTTTACAAATCGTAGACAAATCACTTTAAAGTGATTTGTTTCAGTGATTTGTAAGCAATTCATTTAACAAATCATGAATGAATCACTTTCTACCAAAACCATGAGTATGATTTGTTTGTGATTTGTTACCAAAGACTGATTTATAAATGATTTATTTCACACTTCATACAATTTCTTAGTGATTTGTTAAACTTAGAAAATTGCTACAGTGATTTCAGTATGATTTGTTGGACTTATTCTCTTTCCCAGAATGATTTCTGCATGATTTGTTGGACTTGGTCTTTTTTCAGAGTGATTTCTGCATGATCCATTGGACTTAGTCTTTTTTCAAAGCGATTTCAACATGATTTGATAAACTTAATCTTTCTTTAGAGTGATTTAATAATGATTTGCTAAACTTAGTTCATATATACACGAATTTCAAGCATATACTTCTATTAAAGACTTGACTATTGTATGTATATATCTATACAAATAACATACAAACAATGAAAATACTATGTATATACTATGTGGCAATCAGAGAAATCATTCAAATCCTTGAAAATATGGACACGCAAGAATTAACTGTCAATGTAACTTTATTAATTACCATTGATATTTGATAACATCTTTAAAATTACATGCACAATGAAAATGACACACTGACATCTTTTTCGGCTCTCAAAGATTCAATTCATGGTGATTAGGCTCTTCGCAAATAACAATGTAGTTGTCTTCTTGAATACAAATACATAAATCCAGGACACTTGTCAATGGAATAACATCAAGGACATCAGATTTTGTTACAAAGTGTAAAAATGGTAAAGTAATATTCATAAAATTTGACTGTATGTGGGAATCTGGTTTCTCAGAATGAGCGTCAAACAGATTTAGTGGTAATGGTTTCAGCTTTGAAATACATACTAAAGAGTCAACCTTTGCATCATTCACTGAGTGGTGTTGAGCAAACCATAATACAAATCCATATGAAAGTTTCATGTCCTTATCAATATACTTTACAGTATATGAGTTGCGCATTGATACACGAGTGTAATCTTGAGAATGGTACATAATTCCCCTTATTATTGCTCTTCTAAACATTGAAATGGAATTGATGACTGAATCTAAATATCTACATACCTCAATTGCTTCAAGATCAGAGAGTTTTTTACTGTAACATTTACCAAAAAATTTAAAAACATTTGAATCAGTATCTCTGAACTTTTTAGTAAGTGATTTTATAAGTGCAGTTGCTTGAACATTCTTTTCCACTGACTTGGCAAGCATAGGTACAGTCTGATAAACATGAACAGCATTGACTATTTGAATATCAATAAACATAGTACCATGAAACATTTTCAAAAGATCACCATTTGCAACCTCGAATGCGAAGCATGAGTAACTCCACAGAGGCCCTAGCTCTCTTACCATCTGAGGGAGATGTAGTAATGAGTGTATATTTAATGTCATAAATTGTTCACCATACAAGGAAGAAACCATAAACACAAAATAACTGATGAGATTTTCACTTCTTGCAATGTCATTTTCACTAATACTTGACTGACACAGTAGATAGAATCCTTCTAATAAAGCACAGTAATGATAAAAGTAAATTGGTTTCAGTAAATCTCTTATACATGGTACTGAATAGAACAAAAAACATGATCTCACTTCAGCTGCCTTCCAAAATTTCAAATGATCTCCTATTGTTCTTGGGGTTCTCGTAATTAAATGTGATGGTTTTATATTTGAAATACGTGCATCAACAACATCTATGAATTTATACATAGAAAAGTCCTCCGTACTGTAATCTGAAGAGAACCACAATTTTAGAAGCAAACGAATAATTCCTAGACAAATCATATGCATATAATCAATCCCTATATTTTTTACAACATCAAAATGAGGTAAAAACATCAAAAATGATATTCCTTTCATGCCATTAATAGTTTTCTGACATCCATTTGCACTTATACCATCATTCAAAACTTGTGTAGATACCCGTTCTGGCCCTGCTGGATCAGATGAATCATATGGGAATGTCCGAATGTTACCACCAGCTGCAGTTCTTGTATTTACACCCTTCTGCATGCATTTAGGACATGAACTTTCTCCATTGTTTTGATTCATGTTCATAACTGCACTTCTTGCAGGGATGTCACATGAAAGGCACATGAGGATTGCTTTCACAACAATAATCTCTTCATTGACTTTTATTTCCATTCCATTACATAATTTTTGCACAGATTTTTGAAATGGATCAAAAAACATGTTCATTGGAGGTTTATCTTGTCCAAACCACAGTCCACATAAAATCATATTTTCCCTCTGATTCCTCATCCTAAACGGCAAGTCATTACCAATAGAAATATTGGCCAAATAGAAGTCTTGCTACTTTTAAAGATTGGCACACCATCAGTGTTGAGTGTAAAGGAAATGTTGTTTTCGTTACTCTGGTGTAATATGCCCCCCCTCTTTAGTAAAGCTCCTGTACAATGAACCATCATATATATCCTCGATGTTATCTTTGTTCTTTTTTATTCTTTTATATCGGTGTTTTAGGTTTTTCCGAAATTCATCCTTTGTGAACAGATTTGATAACTGATTTGCAATGTCTAGTTCAATGAAAAAATCCATTGCACCTTTTAACTTTAGATTATTACTACACATGTCATTTGGACAACATCTTGCATCTTTTCGAACAAAAGTAAAACAGTAGGAGCAGAAGTAATGTTTAATCATGGGACTTTTCAAGTGAATGAAAAACTTTTTCAAATGGTGTAGGCTTTTCATGGCAGGATTTGAGACAAGAAGATGAAGATTAATCAATGCCAGCAAGTCTGATGCCTGTGCAGATGTGAGTGAATGTGTAATAATATACATCCATATCAACAGCACACTGGTTGATGTCGTCATGCAGTGGCCTGGTTGAACAGATTCTTCTCCATCTATAGATGTGGCATCTTCGAAGTCTTCTTCTCCTTCTTCTTCATTTTCCTCATCAATTTTGGAAGACTCCCACTGTTCATTTTCATTTTTCAGACGAGATAACAGGTCTTCAATCAAACCATCATGTTTGGAGGTTGAAGGTGTATCATCATCTACTGCATCTTCATTGTTTATCTCTTCATAAGAAACATTAGCATCAAATTCTTCATCCACCAGATCATGAGATGGAATTGCATTTCTATATGGCTCATCGATATCTTGGATTTCAGGAAGCGGGAAGTTATTTTGAAAATAAGTGTTTTCTGAATCTGATGTTGAATTGTCCACATGTAATTGCTCCTGAGTACCTTCACTCATCAGCTCTTTGGACTCTGTCAATGTCTTCTCCGATTGTGATTCCTCACAATCATCTCTAGAATTCTTCATTTCATGCACATACTCACTGTATCTCGTTCTATAACGCTTTGGACGTACATGGCCTAGTCTGCTTGTGAATTTTGATGTAAATTTCAATAAAAAAAAAAGAAGAAAGACGGATGGTAATTATCTTTTTATATCTTAATCAGTATATATGCTTACATGTTACAATTTTAATTAACGATGTTGAAAGTGAGATAACATTGATTATTTACATGATATATCTGTAAACATACGATTAAGTTATAAAAATTTATATAAGGCCGAATTTTCTCGATAATTTTTTTTAATTCGCTGTGATGTTTTTTTTTTTTTGGAATCAATTGAATATCAATGATAATGAAATATAATTATGAATTTTTTTTAACTGAACAAACCTCGTTCTTGTTTGTCTCATCATCCATAGTTGCAATGATACGGAGAAAATACCCTTCCTTGGACACTGATTTAGTGATGTCAACAATACTCAATGGAATATCGGAAGGCGCCGGAAGAAAATCTTCAATCCGGAATGCAACGGATTTTTCGAATCGTAATATTATTACTGTGTGTAATATTTTCAAAATGAAATCTTGACATCGTTTATATTTTGGTAGAAACATTATTTTATATACTATACATTTTGATACATTAATTGATTCCAACACAATGCGCTAATAAATCGGATCTGTTTTTAAATCAATTTATACCGAGTCAGAAATGATAACTCCATCTTAGTCTCGTTGTGGCGCTGGATTTTGGCGCTATTCTACAAAAATGCCGGCAAAGAGGCAGATAAAACGTCCAGATAAATTCAAAAATACAGAGGATTTGGATATTATTCAACGGGAAGGTACGTGTGTTACTTATTTTCACAACATTATTGTACGTTTTACAACTTACCAAAACGTTATTGTTATCAGAAGGGTCTCATTTATGTATACACTTGACCGAATAAACTGCAACCAGTGTCGTCATAAAGTTTTTTTTTTTAATTAGAACTGTAGAAAAAAATATTACAAGTATAGTAAGGTATGCAGGATTTACGAAATGAAACTGACTTTTCACTATCAAATTAGAGTTATTTTAACGAATCATGGACCTCAAAAAGGAGATCGATATACATGTATATAGTATATACTTTTATTTTGCCGATGATATATATCAGAAAGATGTAATAAAGAAAGATCATGCCATGAAAGATGTTATCATCATGGCATAATGATATGATAATCATGATAATGTTCAGATTATTACATAAATATGATTTAATTCAAAATATTTCATTTAGGTCCTTATGTCAAGGTGAAGTTCGTGGATGACGGAAAAGAAAAAACTTTCTCCGAGTTTAGTGGTGCGTTTTTGAGTCTGAAAGATGACTCAGAATTAAATTTCAACTCCCTGTATGAAGGCCTTGTTATCGCAGCAAATGGGAGAACCGCCACTATGAGGCAAAGATCCTGTATATACATAATCCAGGTATTTATAAAAGTGTTTAATTTTTTTAGTTGTTTGTATATCATCAGATCATGGTTGTAGATTGTTGTGATTCTTTAAATAATACATATATTTAATCACATGTTTAATAGATCAATTGAGGGAGGAAGAGACAGAAACAGAATTAACGTCAAACGGACAAAAGAAACAAAAGACAATTGCAAATCCTGAAAAGCTACCTATAAAAAAGAGAAGTATGCTTCACTAAAAGTTTTGTTAGTATACATTATACATTTATTGCAGGATAGTGAGGGAAATATGAATACTTATTCAGCAAAGATACATTATATTCCCCTTGGGCAAAGCCCTCGGGGAATATAAATTTTCTTGGCTGAATAAGTATTCATGTTTCTCAAACATTCATGCATGAATTGTTTATTATACAGAAACAAGCAAAAACTTTAAAATAGAAATAAACTTTCAAATTTGGCACCGCTATCAAATTCACTTTCATTTTTAACATAAAAAGTTCCTGAAACCTCTTGACATTTCGTAATCCAGTCTATAGTGATGTTGACTACTCACGGGAGTTTTCTTTTAACGAATGATAACTATATTGCTGGAAAATAGGTATCCGAAGAGGTGGAATATGAAAGTGAAAGCGTGCTGACGACCAGGAAATGTAAAGTTTTATGGCCCGATCACGTGATAATCTGGAACCAATTAGATTACATGTTGTGTAGAATAGTTATAATGATGTAAAATGATATAAGCTGTGTAATGTCCTTGGGACAAGAGAAAGTTGAATTCAGGCATGTAACATTTTGGATCACATAAACACTTATTCTTGAATTTTATAAAACTTGAATTTTATAAAATTTAGAGAGGGTATACAAAGAGGTAGAAATATTATAAATCTTGTCTTTAAAATTTTCTTCAGAGAGAGCTTCCCCAGACGCAAATCAAAAGGATGATGAAATGAAGGAAAAAAGAAAAGGTAAAGTCAAATAACAAAATTCGCCATTGAAAAGCACAGGTGCTTTTGCTTTTTTTAAGAATTATCTTTTTTTTGTACACATTGTTAACAAGTTTTAATTCACAGTAATTTTTCTAGTTCCAGAGGTTCGGAAGTAAAATGAATTGAAATCCACATCCAATTAAAATTCCTTCAACCTTTTTTTTCACAGAGATGGCCCTAGAGAAAAAAGGAAAAAACAGGCTGTGGCAGCTGCAGCACAAGAAGTCGCTGCCAAACTGTATTCTAAGGCTAACATGCATGTAAGAAGAGAGTTAGTTGCTCCTCAGAATCCTGAACCATCAGTTGTTAATCTGATCCCACAGCCGTCTCCATGCTCTTTAGCCCCTCCCCAGATTCCACAGCCGTCTCCAAGCTCTTTCATGCCTCCCCAGATTTCACAGCCGTCTCCAAGCTCTTTAGTGCCTCCCCAGATTTCACAGCCGTCTCCAAGCTCTTTAGTGCCTCCCCAGATTCCACAGCCCTCTCCAAGCTCTTTAGTGCCTCCCCAGATTCCACAGCCGTCTCCAAGCTCTTTAGCCCCTCCCCAGATTCCACAGCCTTCTCCAAGCTCTTTAGCCCCTCCCCAGATTCCACAGCCGTCTTTAAGCTCTTTAGTGCCTCCCCAGAATCCACAGCCGTCTCCAAGCTCTTCAGTGCCTCCCAAGATTCCACACCCGTCACCAAGCTCTTTAGTGCCTCCCCAGATTCCACAGCCTTCTCCAAGCTCTTTAGCCCCTCCCCAGATTCCACAGCCGTCTTTAAGCTCTTTAGTGCCTCCCCAGATTCCACAGCCTTCTCCAAGCTCTTTAGCCCCTCCCCAGATTCCACAGCCGTCTTTAAGCTCTTTAGTGCCTCCCCAGAATCCACAGCCGTCTCCAAGCTCTTCAGTGCCTCCCAAGATTCCACACCCGTCACCAAGCTCTTTAGTGCCTCCCCAGATTCCACAGCCTTCTCCAAGCTCTTTAGCCCCTCCCCAGATTCCACAGCCGTCTTTAAGCTCTTTAGTGCCTCCCCAGATTCCACAGCCTTCTCCAAGCTCTTTAGCCCCTCCCCAGATTTCACAGCCTTCTCCAAGCTCTTTAGTGCCTCCCCAGATTCCACAGCCGTCTCCAAACTCTTCAGTGCCTCCCCAGATCCCACAGCCGTCTCCAAGCTCTTCAGTGCCTCTCCAGATCACACAGCCGTCTCCAAGGTCTTTAGTGCCATCCCAGATTCCACAGCCGTCTCCAAGCTCTTTAGTGCCTCCCCAGATTCCACAGCCGTCTCCAAGCTCTTTAGTGCCTCCTCAGATTCCACAGCCGTCTCCAAGCTCTTTCATGCCTCCCCAGATTTCACAGCCGTCTCCAAGCTCTTTAGTGCCTCCCCAGATTTCACAGCCGTCTCCAAGCTCTTTCATGCCTCCCCAGATTTCACAGCCGTCTCCAAGCTCTTTACTGCCTCCCCAGATTCCACAGCCGTCTCCGAGCTCTTTAGTGCCTCCCCAGATTCCACAGCCCTCTCTTACCTCTTTAGTGCCTCCCCAGATTTCACAGCCGTCCCCATCAGAACCCGAGGTTTATACCACCTCATTTAATAATGATCTACATCAACCCATGCATGACAATGCTGAAAACTCAATAAATGCTGCTG